AGATGACGTGGTATAATATGGATATAAAATTCAGAAAATTGTTAATTACTGTCATAATACGATCAAACAAACAATTTGAACTTAAAGCAGGAAATTATTTTACAATGTCTTTAGTCACATATAAAAGTGTAAGTTCAAAGAGGATATAAATAATTTTTAAAACAAGTTTTCTAATGAAACAATAAATTACAATTTAAAAAAAAAAATTACAGATAATCTTCACAGCTTATTCGTATGCCTCTTGTCTTTTGGCATTGAGTAAAGAATAAAGAAATGAAAATAATTCAAGAGCAGAGGACTAAAAGTAAAAAATAAAATATATATGATGTATTCCACGCCAAAGTGAAAGTCCATATGCAATTGCATCTCCGATTTTTTTGAGATTTTTTTTCTTTTAGTACTAATTGAGAACTAGCTTCCATGAATTTTTTAAAATTTTTTTAGCAAGCCGTTTTCGAGTTATGGAATTTTGAAAATTGGAGAATTTTCATGACTTTTACTTTTTGAATTAAACTTCCTTAAAATGCATCAATTTTAAAAGTCTTCTTTTTCAAAATGTGTGCTTTTAAACGTACTTTTTAACAAAAAAAATCGAATTTTTTTTTTTAAACGATATTACTATCAAATTTTTGAGTTTTAATGATAAAAAGTCATTTTTCTCATTTGACGTACTGATCGATTTTTTTTAAAAATTTTTTCAAAAAAACTACTTCCTGTTACGAAACTTTTAAACCTAGCCCGATAATGGACAAACAATTTTTACAATATTTTCGGAATTTTTCAAAAATTTTTGAATTTTGAATTTTTTAAAAATATTTTTGGCTTTTTTTTATACTACGTAATTTTATGTATTTTGATAAGCTGATTACAAAAATCATAGTGACAATACCCAAAAATTTGATTTTTATGGTGAAAACCATAAAAAAAAGTCCCAAAATTTATGGTTTTTTTTTCGTTTATTGGGTAAAATATGCAAAATTAAAAAAAAAACTTTCAAACAAAAGTTATAGATCTTATTAAAATACATTTTTTTATTTTATGAATTTTTTTTAATTTTGCATTTTTACCCAATAAACGAAAAAAACCATAAATTTTGGGACTTTTTTTTATGGTTTTCACCATAAAAATCAAATTTTTGGGTATTGCACAGTGGCCGATTTCCCGAAAAACCTGGCCAAAAGTCAAAAAATTTTTTTTAGAAATTTATACTTTTTATTGTTGAATATTATAAAGGAGGGTTCACTGCATAATTTTGCGAAAAAAAATTACACTTTTTTTATCACCAATTTATTATGTGAACAAGTAAAAGTGATCTTTGCCAGAGATTTACTCAGAACGTTTCATAACTATAAATTTTCGTCACAGTTAAAATAGTGAAAATATACTAATATACAGAAGATTTTTGAATATCTTTTTTTGGGAATTATTAACAAAGGTGTATGAAATATGTTGAATGTATTTATAATCACATTTAAAACGTACAGTTTTTAAAAAATGACATTAAACATCGCTATTCATGGCGACGATTTTTGTATTGTTTTATCAACGTAAATCATGAAAATAGTTGTGAAATCCACCGATATCCGCGCTCTACCTGGTATTATCATAAACTAGAATATATTTTTAATTCATTTTAATTGAAATCAGTTGCCCTTTTTATTTCACTAAGCGCGGTTTACCGACAGCGCGTTGCACCGGCCGGCGGTGCAACTGAACGTGAAAGACTGACTTTTTCTTCATTCGCATTCGCTTTAAACTAAAATTTAAGCACTGTCTGTAATTTAAAAAAAATAAGCTCTAACACATTTACGCAATTTTATAATACCAGCAAATATTTTGGATCCGCCATATTGAATTTGATAAAACAAATGTAAAATTTGATTTCAGAAACCTAGTAAACGTAAGTATACTAAGTTTGGTTAAAATCGTACAATTTTTTAATTTTTAGCAAAGTTTTTTAAAATCTAAACGGCCAGTTTAGATCCGCCATTTTGAATTTGACACAACCAATATAAAATTTGAATTCAGAAGCCCAAAAAACATGGGTATACCAATTTTGGTTGAAATCGTATCATTTTTCGATTTTCAGCAAAGTTTTTTAAAATCTAAACGGCCATTTTGGATCCGCCATTTTGAATTTGACACAACCAATGTAAAATTTGAATTCAGAAGCCCAAAAAACATGGATATACCAATTTTGATTGAAATCGTATCATTTTTCGATTTTCAGCAAAGTTTTTTAAAATCTGAACGGCCATTTTGGATCCGCCATTTTGAATTTGACACAACCAATGTAAAATTTGAATTCAGAAGCCCTAAAATCATGGGTATACCAATTTTGGTTGAAATCGTATCATTTTTCGATTTTCAGCAAAGTTTTTTAAAATCTAAACGGCCATTTTGGATCCGCCATTTTGAATTTGACACAACCAATGTAAAATTTGAATTGAGAAGCCCAAAAAACATGGGTATACCAATTTTGGTTGAAATCATATCATTTTTCGATTTTTGGCCAGGTTTTTCGAGAAATCGGCCACTGTGTATTGTCACTATGATTTTTGTAATTAGCGCATCAAAATACATAAAAGTACGTAGTATAAAAAAAAAACAAAAAGAATTTTTAATAAATTCAAAATTCAAAAATTTTTGAAAAATTCCGAAAATATTGTAAAAATCGTTTGCCCATTATCGGGCTAGGCTTAAAAGTTTCGTAACAGGAAGTAGTTTTTTTGAAAAAATTTTGAAAAAAATCGATCAGTACGTCAAATGAGAAAAATGACTTTTTATCATTAAAACTCAAAAATTTGATATTAATATCGTTTAAAAAAAAAAAAATTCGATTTTTTTTGGTAAAAAGGTACGTTTAAAAGCACACATTTTGAAAAAGAAGACTTTTAAAATTGATGCATTTTAAGGCCAGGTCCAAGTGAGGCAGCGCCATCTACATTGAAACTAAAATTTTGGAAAATTTTCAACAGCCTTTTCTTGAAAACAAGAAGATAAAATGCTTTTTCCTTTATGGATAATTGATTATTGGCAAGATATACACCAGCTAAAACTTTTTTTGAGTTAAAATAATAAAAAAAAAATTTCATGTCGATAAATTAAATATGAGAACTTTTTTTTACAAAAAACTGTAACAGTACTTTCTCAGAAATTACAAACAAAAATGCAATTTCCATTTGGAAAATTAATAAACGCTAAAAAATACACGACCTAAGATTTACCAATCACGAAAATAACAAAAAAAAAAAAAAGTTTTTTAACATAACATATTTTACTTATTATGACAGCCGTTTGGTAGGTTATGTATGTCACCAGACGTTTCGCGGTTTTGCCGAAAGGAGGAGATTGGCGCTGTTGCTAACCACCTGAAATACATAATCTACCAAAAGGGTTGTCACAATCAGTAAAGCAGTATCAATATGTTAAATATTTAATAAAAAATTTTTTTTGTTATTTTCGTTATTGGTAAATCTTAGGTCGTGTATTTTTTAGCGTTAATTAATTTTCCAAATGGAAATTGCATTTTTGATTGTAATTTCTGAGAAAGTACTGTTACAGTTTTTTGTGAAAAAAGTTCTCATATTTAATTTATCGACATGAAATTTTTTTTCATTATTTTAACTCAAAAAAAGTTTTAGCTGGTGTATATCTTGCGAATAATCAATTATCCATTAAGGAAAAAGCATTTTACCTTCTTGTTTTCAAGAAAAGGCTGTTGAAAATTTTCCAAAAATTTTAGTATCAATGCTGCCTCACTTGGACCTGGCCTTAAGGAAGTTATGAGCATTCAAAAATTAAAAGTCATGAAAATTCTCCAATTTTCAAAATTCCATAAATCGAAAACGGCTTGCTAAAAAAAATTTGAAAAAATTCATGGAAGCTAGTTCTCAATTAGTACTAAAAGAAAAAAAAATCGGAGATACAATTGCAGATGGACTTACACTTTGGCGTGGAATATATATATATACACAAATATATTCTTTGATTATAATTTTCAGACTAAATAATTTCAGATGTGTATTCACTATTACTGAATGGAAAAGAGAGAGAGAGAGATAGAGCGAGAGAAAATGAAACACAATATAGTATACATGAAATTGTGTTGCTCATTCGGAGAACAAGAATTTCAACCTCTACAATGAACTTTATCCTAGCAAGTGTGTGCCAGTATAAATTGTTTGCCTTTTTGCTTGGTCGAGCCAAAATTTCATCAGGATGAAAATTTCTCTTTCCCTGACGACGACATGAGAAAATGTATCTTTGTTCTTTGTCGGAGAATATATTCGAGAGGAGGGATGAAGGAGAATGAGGATATAGTTCTCTTGATGCGAAGTGTGTAGACGGTAATTGTGTGGTGAAAAAATAATCAGCTAGTACAGCACGTACAACGGGTACTTCTGTCACAAGTGTACGCTTGCACGCATTGTCGACTCAACGTATTTAAGAAAAGAAAAAAAAAAAAAAAAAAAAAAAAAAACTATATACAAGGGTTCTCGGGAGGGTTTCCCCACTTAGAAATAAAATACGAGTTCTTCGCACGAGAGCAAAAGCCAACAATCCCCTATAGTCGAACACTTCACTTTACCTGCGCGACTAAAATCAAATTTTGTCGAGACAAAATACTTTAAGAAAAAAAAAAAAAATGCCTCCTTTATATTAGATTATAATCACGAAAATTTTAAATTATTTCATCAATCAAAAATTTGTTATTTTCCTATTAAATTTTGCACATGTTTTTTGGGGTGTCGAATTACTGAAATTCAGTATCCACATGTGTCTACACGCGTTAAGATTAAAATATATTCAATTCTATAACTCTCGGATTTTTTTTCAAACTTTAAACATAATATGTTTTATATTAAAAACAGATTATCATAATTATTACCTATTAAAAATTTTTTATCCAGATTCATTTAAAAAAAATCTCCGGAATTACTCGCACGAAAATAAATATCAAAAGATTAATTTTTCATAGAAAAATATTTTTGACTCACCGGAATGTAGCCATCGGGTTGAGGTCTGTCTGAATCTCTGAAAAATAGAAAAAAAAGAAATAAATAAATTTTATCAAAAACTAGAATTCATTTTTAACAGAAAAATTTTCTATACCTATTTCTTCGTTGAATTACAGATGTTTTTGGTGTGCTGTCATGAATGATAACTTGATTTGCATCTATTTCCTCGCACTCACTGCTGTCATCTGATGATTCTAAAAAAAAAAAACAAAAAAAATATAATTTATTAAAAAACATTTTTTATTTTCATTAAATAAATAAGAAGCAAACGATATTTTAAGTATTTTATCAACAATTGAAATAGGTAAATTTTATTTCAAAATGTATATTAATAATTTTAAAAAAACAATCGCTTGCAAAGAATTGTTAATCATAATATAAAAATATATTAAATAAATAAATACATTTTTAACAGTTATTTAAAATAATATTAGTTGAAAAAAATACATTGAAAAAGAAATTTATTTAATTCAAATAATCGATTACTTGACTATTATCAAATAAATATTTCATTGAACCAAATAATTTTGGAGTCAATTAAATGGTATTTGTTTCAAATACAGAATTTATTGGTTCAAACACTGAAAGAAAAAAATTTATTTGATTTAAATACTCGATTACTTAACTATTATCAAATAAATATTTACTTCAAACAAATAATTTTTCTTTGAATTAAATAAATTGTATTTAAATCAAATATACATTTTTTTCAATGACAACAATTTATTTAATTCAAATAAAAATTATTTTGGTTCAAGTAAACATTTATTTGATAATATAGTCAAGTAACTGATTATTTAAATCAAATAAATTTTTTCTTCAGTGTACTTTTTGAAATAGAATGGCCATTAAATTAATTTTCATAAAATTTTAATAGAATTCGATTTTTTAATTTAAATGTAATAATAAATAATTTCCAATTTTTATTGATTATTAAAACCATTTAGTTAATTATAATGTTACATTCTTTGAAGAATGAGAATAGCAATAAATTATAGGTTATGTTTATGACAGTAAAGGCACTCTCACACCTTTCTGGCTGCCTGCAGGTTACCATGGCAACGCACGAGTGTGAGTGAGACAGAAAATTTGAATATTCAAATTTTTAAATTTTCTGTCGCACTCACTCTCATGCGTTGCCATGGTAATCTGCAGGCAGCCAAAAAGGTGTGAGAGCGCCTTAAGTGTAAATCCACAAATAGGAACAATTCTCAAACTAATTTTATCTTTATTGCAGATTTTGATTATAAATAATTATTAGAAAGAAACTTTTAATCAGTGGTAAAAAAAACAGTTATCGTGAACATAACCTATAATTTTTTTTTTGTTTCTTTCTTCAGAGTGCGTCGTATATATATGTTTAATTAAATATATTACCTGGAAAATCTTTCTGACGACGCAATCGAGATAATATTGGACTGTGACTCGGACTTATTTCATAACCCAGGAGATCATCAATATTCGTATGAGTTCCAATAAAAGGAGGAAGAGTCGATGGCCTTTTGCGTGGTTTATTGGTCACTGTCATTGGATTATTGTCATATGGAGAATCACGTCCACCATAACTGTCCGGTGGCTCTGGAGGATTTTCAACCTGAAACATAAATTTCTTTTATTAATTTACTTTTACTTTTTACTTTTTAATTTATTTACTTTTTTTTTTTACTTTAAAATAGAACTTTGAGAACTTGAAATATATAAATTTTTTCACTTTAAATTTATTTATTTTAAAGAAAAGACAAAATAAAAAAACTATTTTAGTTTTATAAAATTGAAAATCATTTTAAAATAACAAAGTCTCATTTTTGAAATGAAAACATAACCTTTTGACCAGTCAAGGCAAGTGAACTACGTTAGTCAAATATAGTAATTTGCGCATGCGCGGTACTAAAATCGTCTGCTGTAAAATGTGGTTTTCAAGGCCAAAGCAGAATAGAAAAGTAATCGGAATCGTAACCGGAATAATGAGTTAGAGAAGGATAAACAATATATATCTATCCTTTTCTAACTCCTTCTTCCGATTGCGTTTGCGATTACGATTCCGGTAACGTTTCTATTCTGCTCAGGCCTTCACACGTCTTTCATACCTCAAAAAACAACATTTTTTTATGCACGTATAAAATATTATAAATTCGTTGATAATTTATTTTTTTGACCAACAATATTAAAGATAAAACTTACCCCTTCTGGACTGGCTCGATCTCCAAGAGGTTCATCAGGTGGTGGCGGTGGTGGAAATTCGATGGGAAATTTCGCAAGACCTCGCTTTTTTTCATTTTCAACATCGATATCAATTCTCTCATACGAGCCTGATGAATCTAAATTAGTATTCGAAGTTTCTGTATAAATTTTATGACTCCAATACCAAAAAGATTGAAATGATGTTGTTTCATTTTATAACTCCAACTTAATACCAAAAAGATTGAAATACTGTTTCAATATCGCAAAGTGTTAATGCTTGTATTTCATTGGATTAAAGTTTTTAATCAAGCCAATCAAATAAACGTATTCACACTTTTTAAGATTGGAACAATATCACAGCCACACACACATTAACACACCATACCATCAATATTCATTCAAATGCACTTAGAATAAATTAAACTATCTTAATTTAAAAAAGTGAAATTTTCACTACAAACCAAATAGTGATTGACTTTTGACCACTACAATTTTCAGCAATTTACACTGAGAATCAGTAGATCACTAAATAGTTAACCAAAGTCAATCACTGAATGGTATGCAGTAAAAGATTTCACAGATTCTCATGATTTTGAACTACCTTGACTCGATCCTCTTCTTGATGATGATTTTTTATCATCTTCATCCATCCACCATGCTCTTTCTCCAGATTCAATTTGTCTAATTCTACCAATTGTTTTTGGAAATGATTCTTCCTCTGATTTTGATTTTGACGATGAAACGGGAATAATTACAACACCATCAGGAACATTGTGTGGATCATCACTCATCCACCAGGCTCTTTCACCAGATTTTTGATGCTTAAGATGATTTAATTTATCACTTGATTTTGATTTTAAACTACATTGACTCGATCCTCTTCTTAATGAAGATTTTTTATCCTCTTCATCTATCCACCATGCTTTTTCCTCGGAATCTTGACGCCAGACTTTGAATTTAAATTTACCTGTAAATTTTAAAAATAATAGTAAAATTTTAAATATTTAAATTGAGCCACTGGAAAGTAAAACAAAACACATAAACTTTTGATTTTCATTGCATCAGAATTTATTGATTTCTTTTACTTTCCGGCGGTTCAACTAGATTTCAAAATTAATAATCTTACCATCGTCTGGTAAATTTGTGCTAACAGTTGTTTCCTGACTAATATCATCATTCTTCTCTATTCCCTCGGGTACATTATCAGAATTTGAATCCATCCACCATGGTCTTTCACCTGAATTTTGATGTCGAATTTTTGAATTACTTTTACTTGTTTGTAAATTTTTCTCCGAATTAAAACTTTTGGATAAATTTTGTGATGATATCCTAGTAGAACCAGAATTAGTGTCATTGGAATGTACCCAGCCGTCTGCTTTTATTTCTCCTGTTTCTGATTTGCCTTTAAAAAGTCCAGTAACGGGTGCTAATGCTCTCATTAAAAAACATTTGGCTTCTTCGGTTTTTCCATTTCTGTCATTCTTCAATCTTGGACTTGGAGGTGGTCGCGGTGGTTTATCCATTGTCAAGGATAATTCATCAGCAGACGATGCCAATATACTTGTTCTCGACGATCCAGTGCTCATGTGACTTTTTCCCTCGGGAAATGGCGATTCACTTGCTCTTCTTCGTCTCCTCGAACTTGATCTTTGTTGATTTATTTCTTCCTCATCACTGGCAGACGATTCTGTTGAACTTGTTTCACAATTTTTTTTCAAATTATTTCTTATATTATTATCAATTTCTTTATTCTCAATTTTTGAATTGGATTTTGTAGCTTCGGAAATTGATTCCGAATCTTGTGAACTCGTTGACATGCTTCTTTGACATTTTTTCTGTGTTTTTTGTGATCGCATTGGATCACCATTTTCCATATTAAGCACTGATTTACGAAAGTCTTTATTAACATATTTAATGGGAAATTGTGTTGTATTTTTCATTGCAACAGGTGGTTTTCCACGCGTGTCCGATGAATTTACTTGCCGCGAACTAACTGAAGAACTCGACAATTTCCCAGGCAACGGAGACATTGTCTTTATTTTTGCGCTATGATTCGTCATGGAATTGGTTGACGACGAAGATTTTAATCTGCCAGTTGGCACACTGACAACGGAACCCTCTGACGAGTCGGTACGCGTCATTTGACGAGATAAGTTTTTTAACGAGCTACTGTTTCGTGATATCGACTTTGACTTAGATGATGCACTGTCCGACCTATGTTGAAAATCTTTCCCTTGGCCTTTGAGAATTTCATTTTCATCTGATTTTTTTGATTTTGTTTCCTCTGTCAAAGAATCCAATTGGCATGAGGTATCACTTTTTGATATTGAATCGTCTGTTGATGATTTTCTTTTTTTCGATTCCGAACTTTTAGAAAAATTAGACGCTGAATTTGTTTTTGAATTAGAGTCACTGTTTTTTTTTTCCTTTGGCTTAATTTTCTGTTCGCGATTAGATTTAATTGAAGCATCACTTCTTGAGGATGTTGGACTTGAATATCCATAATTAGTTAAACGTGATACTGTATAATTTCTCGGTGATGTGGATGATGAATTAAATCTATCGAGATATGTGGCCCATGGTGCACTGGTAATTCTACTAGATCCAGAATATCGTGAAAATCTTGAATCATCATTACGATCAACTTGTACCTCCTCATCTTTTGTATTCAATGACTTTTGAATTCGTGGTACTTCTTTTTCAAAAATTTTATCCAATCTTCGAGAATCACCTTGCAATGTTGGCTGAGTTGGTGATGTACCTCTTGAAACAACTTTCAACGAAACTGTTCCACTTTTGTCTGTCTTTTTTTTATCATCGATTTCATTTACACTTGACTGATTCAAATGCCTGACATTTTTATCCAACTCGTCTTGATGTAATTGTCTACCACTATTCTTTGCTTTATTTTTAACTTCTTCCTCGTCTTTTAAAGATTTGTTGTTTGTTCGAATTCTGTCTGTGCTTGAGTAATTTATTGTACTTGGAAAACGATCCAAACTGTTTCGCGATGATAATGAATATCTTCCTCCTGTTGATGAGGCGCATCTTGACAAAGAATCTGATGAAGGTTCAGATACATCTAAAGGGGGGGAAAATAATTTTCAAAAATAGAAAAATTCATAAAAATACACAAACAATGATTTTACCAAAAAGAAAGTAAAAAAATTTAATAAATAATTAAAAAACGAGATTAAAATTTACGTACTGGAAGAAACACTGTGTCTGCCGTAAGATGGGGTTCTGGTGCTGTACATTTTTAAGGAATTTATTTTCGGATTACTGACGTCAGGGCTTGGTTCACGCGAACTTCTTCCGGAACTTGCTCGAATGCTTCGATATGAAACTGACGGAAGTTCAGTTCTTTCTTTTTTTTCAGTTCTTCTTTCGTTTCCAAAATTTCTACTGATACTTGAACCAGGATATGTACTGGAACGATAACATCCAGTGACTTCCGGTTCTCTGCTTGTTGCTCTTGGCGATGCACGACTATATTTGTCCAATTTTGAAAATTGAATATCCGAATTACCAGAACTTGGTGATGAATATTTTTCAACAATCGACGTTGTTCGTCCACTGACACCTGGACTTTTTGATCTTAAATCATCAATCGATGATCTTGACGGACGTAATCTATCTTTTTCATAATTTTTTGAACCTAGAGAACAAATAAATATGAATTTTTCTTTTTTCAAAAACTATCATTCTTTTTATCCAATCTTAAATTTAATATTAAATTTATCACAGTTGAATAAAATTAAGGAAACCTAAACATAGGCGACAATTATTAATCTGACGTTAAAACTCGGTCAAATATATTCACACTTCTTGGCAAAGAATTTATAGAGCATCCCATGAAAGCTCTATTGTCAAAGAAACATTTTAATTGACCAAAACGATAATAATTTAATAAATTCAAATTAAAGACAAAATAAATAAGTTTCGTATATAAATTAAAAAAAAGGGTTTTAAAAAAGAAATTTTAAACCAAATTATCCTTTTTTTAAAGAATATTTTAATTTAATGAAAAATGATAAAGAATAATATTTTACATTTTAAATATAAAAAATAGAGTAGTAAAATAATATTACTCAAATACCTAGACTATTAATGGATGATAAATTTCTTCCAAAATTGCTAGTACCCACATTAGTCCTAGGTTTATACAATCTGGAGTCGTTCTGAAATTTAAAAACAAATCTAAATTATTATACATTAATTTGCTACTATGAATTTAAAAAAAATATAATAAAAATTAAATTGAAAGATTATATATTTACAAAAATTAAAATCAGTTTAGACTTTTTTTGATATTAAATGCAAATCATAATTGAATTTTTGACAATAACAAAAAATTAAAAATGGATATTATGTATTATTTTCGAACTTTATTATTAATCATTGATCATAAAACTGAATTACACTTTTCTTGTGGAAATCTGCCAAATTTTTACTATCATATAGAACCGAGTGCCAATTGGGCTAATCTGGTCTTTTTTTAATCAAAAACATAAAATAAACAAAAAAAAAAAAAAATAATCAAGTAACCGATAAATTTTTTTTTCAGTGTACTGTTAATATAATATTTTTGAAATTAAGAAAAAAAAATGTCTCTACAATCAATTAAAAGCAATAAAGAAATTTTCCTTTTAAAATGGACAGGTGTTGACAGAGATGTTAATAGTTCCAAAATTAGACGACTTATGTACCAAAAAGATGCCGACCAACTCCACGTATACTGAAAATGAGGTTCTGTTGTTTTCGGCGAAAATTTTCGTAGAAAATGCGCGCTAATGTATTCTAAATCTGATCAATGAAATAACAAATCACACGCACATAAAAGTTTGTTTACTTAAAATTTTTTAAAACTGACTTTTTTATTTTTGTTAATGTTACAGTGTTTTAATGTATTTAAAAACACGGAAAAAAAAAAAATTTATTTGATTCAAATAATCGATTACTTGACTATTATCAAATAAAAAATATATATACTTGAATTAAATAATTTTTATTTGAATTAAATAAATTGTATTTAAACATGAAAAAAAAAATGTTCACCTAAAAATAGCGATGTTTCACTAGGACAGCGATATATTTCACTAAAACAGAGAAAGTTTTCGCTGTTCTAGAGAAACATATCGCTATTCCAGATAAAAATTTTTTTTCCCATGAACCAATAATTTCTATATTTGAAATAAATGCCATTTAATTGATTCTAATAATTATTTAATACAAAAATAAATATTTATTTGATAATAGTCAATTAAAATTAAATATTCGTTAATAAAAATAAAAATTGATAAACAATTTTGTAATTTTTGAAAAGAAAAGGAATTTAATTATTAATAAATTAATAATATATAAATCGTTTTTTTAAAATTATATTTAAAACATTTCCCATAAATTGAGCGACAGACATTTTAAATAGTTTCAGACAAAACATTCAATTGCATAATTCTTTTTGAAATGTAACGCCCCTTCTATGTTTTTCCTTTTTTTTCCGGTTTACATAAAAAAAAATATTACTTTTTTTTTTTAATTTAACGATAATATAATATTGAAGTTAACTTTTAGAAAAAATTATTACTATTGTTTATAAAACAATTGTAAAATTATCACCCAGAGAAATGATTTATTTGATTCAAATAAAATATATTTGAATTAAATAAACGTATATTTCTCTCAGAGCCTACTAACTTATTTATTTGGCGTAAATAAAAATTTTATTTGTCAAAAATAAATTTTTCTTTGGCTCAAATAAATTTTTTATTTCAATGAAATATATTTGCAACAAATAAATGAGTTAGTAGGCTCGGAGACAAATATATCATTTCTCTGAGTGTAATTTTGATTTTTTTTTTGTTACTAGATACAATAATAAAAATTAATTTATAATTTTAATGACACAATTAAATTAATATTTAAATTATTTTTTTTTCAAATAAAAACCACAACACATGGAGATAATAAGAAATAATTAATTAAATACTTACGTAATTTCTAAATGAAGACATGACAACGATCCTTTAATTTGTTTTCACTGAATATATCCGTTTCTTTATTCTTGATTTAAACACACGTCGATACACTATAAAATAAAGTCACACATACACAAATCTCAGAAATCACTTATAACTGAATATGAAAAAAAAAGAAAACATGATAGAATAATAAAAATTTGATAGAAATTTAATAATAATTAAAAATTGATCTACATGTATAGGAAGAGGAAGAAAAAACGCGTGAGCGCAAAAGAACGTTGTGTTTTAAAGACGAAGCTGAAATCGTCAAGTGCCGGCGACCCCAGAAACACGTCGTGATTCCTCTTCTTTCTCACTTACACATTGATTTGACATCTTTCTCTCTTTCTCTCTGTTTATCTTATTCTGTCTTTTTTTTTCTTTCTCTTGATGCGTTTCGTTCATTCGCTTGTACGCACTCTCGAGCCCTATTTTAAGAATAGCTATAATCGCTATCCCACTCACACAAACATGATCTCGCAATAAATGTCTCTCTCAACCCTAGTCCAGGCTCAAAACACGTCGTCGTCGTCGTCGTCGTCGTAGTCGTGCAGCTTTCAAATAAGCGCCATAGAATTTCGTTGTGATCGCAAAAAAAAAAAAATAATAATAATAATAATGAAAAATGCAATATGATACAAAACATAATTTCAATTTCAATATTAACAAAAAAATATTAATATTTATTGAAATCAAATTTTAATTTATTTCTTTAATTAAATTATTGCTTTCAAAACAAAAATAATATAATTAAAGTTTGATTCATATAAAACATTACTAAAGTAATTTTTAAATCAGTAGTGAATATGATCATGTTTAAATCAGACAACAAATATTGTAATTTTTAAATTAGGAGAAAATGTCATTTACAGTCAGACAGATATTATCAATGATAAAAGTAAAAAAATTTTAAATTTTTATAATTTCCCTTACAGTATACACTGAGAAAAAAAAATTATTTGATTCAAATAATCAATTACTTTACTATTATCAAATAAATATTTATTTGTATTATATAGATAAATATACATTTGTACACTCAGAAAAATGGTATATTTGTCTCAGCGTCTAATGAATATTTATTTGATTCAAATAAATTATTATTATTTGATTTAAATAAATAGTCTAGTAGGCTGTGAGACAAATATATACGTTTATTTAATTCATATTATATATTTGATTCAAATAAAACATTTCTCTTGGTGTATTAAATAATTATTTTAATTCTATTAAAGAATTATTATATTTGTATTAAATAATTTATTATTTAAGTCATTTAAATGGTATTTGCTTCAAATACAGAAATTATTGGTATCAAGTAAATATTTATTTGAACCAAATATAATACATTTGAGTTAAATAAACGAAAAAAAAAATATTTGTTTCAGAGCCTAACAGCCCATTTTATTTGTCATAAATAAATTTTTTATTTAAAAAAAATAAAAAATGTATTTAAAACAAATAAAAAATTTATTTAAAATAAATAAAAAATTTATTTTAAACAAATAAATATTTATTTATCACTGAGACAAATATATCATTTCTTTAATCGAATTAAATGGTATTTATTTCAAATACAGAAAATATATTGATTCAAGTAAAATTTATTTAATTGAAATAAAAATTAATTGGTTCAAATAAATATTTATTTAATAATAATCAAGTAACTGATTATTTATATCAAATAAATTTTTTTTTCAGAACAGTACAGGTAAAAAAAATTCAAAAATAAAATTTTTTTTCCTAACTTTTGTATCGGGTAAATGTAAAGTCAAAATTTAAATGATATTTTGTAATTGTAGTATCAGTAGTAAACAATTAATAATCACTGTATAAAATAGAAATTCTGTTGTTTTAAATTTGCTTATATTTCATAAGACTATAAGGTATATATCCATTAAGTAGTACAACTCGAGTACAGTCAGACATAAGGCTGACTAATTCCCACTGGTAATAAACAAGTGCATATAAACTTTTTTTCCAAAAATTTTCTTTCATTACTAAAGTTCTCATTCACTTATTAATAATTATATATTTAAAAAAAAAAAAAAAAAAAAAAAAATTATATTAAAAATAAAATTTTAATAAAAAAAAAAATTATATTTTTTAATTCTTTTTTATAAAATAATTTTACAAAACTATTTCCGTCAAAAATATATTTCGAATATATTTGCAATAAAGAGTTTATTAATTTGGAATTGAGAATGTATCATGAAAGATTATTTTATAGAAATTTAATAATCATAAACGATTCTGAAAATTTTCCTAAATGTAATAAAATTATATTTTTAACCATTTTAAAATCACACTGAAAGGAAACAGTGCTGCCAGCTTTTGAGAAACAGTAAAATCTCTCTCAGAGGTAAGTTACTGAAGGAAGGTATTTATCATCAATATTACCGACAGAAAACGAATTTAAAAATAGAAATTATTTCTTCAAATTTCCGACAAGATGACACTGTATGATATTTTTAACTATTATTATTATTATTATTTTATTTTTCATTTTAATTTTTTTATTATTATAGTTATTACTATATTATTATTAAAAATTTTAATTCCACGTAATACCTGCTTTTTCCACTTTTTCAAAGTCATCGAAATAAGATAGATGGACAACGAAATGAATTTCACTTAATTCTAAAATTCGTTCTGCATTACGTAAAAATCGGTAAGTGTGCTTTATATTATAATGACAATTGTACAAATTTTTGTGTATCGAAAATAATTTGCTCATGATTTTATTTAGAAGTAATAGTGAATAAATTTGGTGTGTTTTTTCTGTTCAATGTAAAAATAAGAAATAATTTACAGTGAATATCATGTTAATAAAAAGTTTAATAAATTTAAACGTAAGGCATCAAAACTTGAACATATATTGTCTCAACATTTTTTAAGATTATGCGCACTTCTTGATTGGTCTAACGGATGCTGAGATACACTAGAAGACAAATTTGGAAAAAATTTAGAAACATTAAATTTGCTAGATAATCGTTCCGGAATACCACCAATAAAATAAGGAAAAAGTTTCAAACCAAAAATGTATGGCGCACTTTTTAATTGGTCCAGCGGATGCTCAGCTACACTCAAAAATATTTTGGAAAAATTTTCTAAAAATTAAATTCGCAAAATAATTGCTCCGGAATATCACCAACAAAATAGGGAAAAAGTTTTGAACAAAAAATGTATGGCGCACTTTCTGATTGGTCCAGCGGATGCTGAGCTACACTCAAAATAATTTTGGAAAAATTTTAGAAAAATTAAATTCGCGAGATAAACGGTCGGGAATACCACCAAAGTAGTTAGAAGAAAGTTCTGAACAAAAAATGTATGGCGCACTTTTTGATTGGTCCAGCAGATGCTGAGGTACACTCAAAAATATTTTGGAAAAATTTTCTAAAAATTAAATTTGCGAGAAAATCGCACCGGAATATAACCAATAAAATAAGGAAAAAGTTTCGAACAAACAATGTATGGCGCAGTTCTTGATTGGTCCAGTGGATGCTGTGCTACAGTAGAAAACAAATTTGGAAAAAATTACGGAAAATTAAATTTGCGAGGTAACTTCTCCGGAATACCATAAATAAAATAGTCAAAAAGTTCCGAACAAAAAATGTATGGCGGACTTTTTGATTGGTCCAGCGGATGATGAGATAAACTCATAAAATCGTGGGAAAAATTTTCGGAAAATTAAATTCGCGAGATAATCGTTCAGGAATATTACCAATAAATTGAGCAAAAAGTCTCGAACAAAAAATGTATGGCGCACTTTTTGATCGGTCCAGCGGATGCTGAGCTACAATCAAATAAATTTCCGAAAAATTTAAATTTCGAGATAACTTCTCCGGAATACCATAAATAAAATAGTCAAAAAGTTCCGAACAAAAAATGTATGGCGCACTTTTTGATTGGTCCAGCGGATGCTGAGCTACACTCAAAAATATTTTGGAAAAATTTCGAAAAATTAAATTTGCGAGATAATCGTTCGGGAATACCGCCAAAGTCTTTAGCAAAAAGTAGCGAACAAAAAATGTATGGCGCACTTTTTGATAGGTCCACCGGATGCTGAGCTAAACTAGAAAACAAATTTGGAAAAATTAAATTTGGGAGATAATTGATCGGGAATACCGCCAAAGTCTTAACCCGGGAGTCTCGAACAAAAAATGTATGGCGCACTTTTTGATTGGTCCAGCGGATGCTGAGCTACACTCAAAAAAATTTTGGAAAAATTTTCGAAAAATTAAATTCACGACATAATTGTTCGGGAATACCGCCAAAGGAGTTAGAAGAAAGTTCTGAACAAAAAATGTATGGCGCACTTTTTGATTGGTCCAGCGGATGCTGAGCTACACAAAAAAACAAATTTGGGAAATATTTAGAAAAATTAAATTTGCGAGATAATCGCTCCGGGATACCACCAATAAAATAGGGAAAAAGTTTCGAACAAAAAATGTATGGCGCACTTTTTGATTGGTCCAGTGGATGCTGAGCTACACTCAGATATATTTTTTAAAAAATTTCGAAAAATTAAATTTTGGAGATAATTGATCGGGAATACCGCTAAAGTCTTAACCCGGGAGTCTCGAACAAAAAATGTATAGCGCACTTATTGATTGGTCCAGCGGATGCTGAGCCACACTCAGATAAATTTTTTAAAAAATTTCGAAAAATTAAATTTGCGAGATAATTGATCGGGAATACCGTCAAAGTCTTAACCCGGGAGTCTCGAACAAAAAATGTATGGCGCACTTTTTGATTGGTCCAGCGGATGCTGAGCTACACTCAGATAAATTTTTAAAAAAATTTTGGAAAATTAAATTTGGGAGATAATTGATCGGGAATACCGCTAAAGTCTTAACCCGGGAGTCTCGAACAAAAAATGTATAGCGCACTTATTGATTGGTCCAGCGGATGCTGAGCCACACTCAGATAAATTTTTTAAAAAATTTCGAAAAATTAAATTTGCGAGATAATTGATCAGGAATACCGCCAAAGCAGTTAGAAGAAAG